AAGACATTAAATTTGTGGTTTTTTTTAATTTCATTGAATAAAAGCACCTCAAAACACTTCAAAGCAGTACTAAAAAATTTTTTTGGACATAAATAAATATTTAAATCAGTTAATATCTGAAACAGTTTTTTAAACAGAACTGAGACATTTTAGAAAAAACAGGATTTTCACAAATAAACATGTAGCTTCCACAAATGATATCGCATTAAGATCAAATTTTTCTTGACGTCTTTTGGTGTTAAAACAAGTATATATGATGAATGGTGCCCTTTTTGAACAAGCCGTGTAGGCAATAGAGCCACTAACTATCCTTGCCTCTTAACTATCCTTGCCCCATCTTCCCCTACTTATCTACAATAAAATGAACTCGTAAAACTAATCAAATTCAATGATTGAATGTATATTATATAAATACACAAGTATGTGACCACTTTTTGTAATATTTACAATAGTTTGTTATTTATCGTTTTACAAGTTGACTACTCATTAGAAATTTATTTAAAAAAAATTCAAAGTAAATAGGGTCAGTTGGGGTAAATGGGGACAAAATCGCTATTTTTCAAAAATTACGAAAGTTTCTTCTTTTAAAAGGTAATATTTGCGGGTTTATTTTTTTTAAGTTGTTATTTACGTTCCCAAGATTAATTTTATGCATCAGAAAAAAATTTAGATAAGCTTTAAACGCATGAAACTAACTGCCCCCATTTACCCCAAAATTTATTATGGAAGTCATAAGGAATAAGAAAAAAAATTTTGTATGATGTTTAAGTATGTTTTTTTTCAAATGTGAGACAAAATACTGAAACTGTTTGACTTTGATTTTCAAGTTTTTATGCATTGAGCGATAACTTTTTTTATCTTGCTGCCAATTGTCAAGATAAAAGCTTGGCAATACTCAAAACCTCTTGCAGGTGATCTGAGGTTAAAATATTGACGTTGAATTTAATTTTAAAACTAAATTAAGCTCCAAAACCTCTTATTCCCATTTACCCCAACTGATCCTATGACATATTATTCATATCGCTAAGAATTGACGTCTTGAAAAATCGCTTTTCTTCATAATAAATCGGTTACTATCGATATGGATGTTATTAAATTTTATGTAGAAGGTTCTTACGAATTAGTACAGTAATCGTCATAGAGCAAATAAGAATCAGTTATAACAAAACTTTATTTGCCATCAGTCTTGATCAACAGCTTATATTTTTAACCCATTACACAATTTTTTTATTCATTACAAAAAGTAGTCACTTATCATAGTAAGAATGTGGACTTTTGTAATTAGTGCTTATACATTTTTCTTACTTGTATTCAAAAATTTATTTTAAAGTTCACGACAGTTTATTTCCTTCAACTAGATTGAAGCTACATGTTTTTGTAATACTGTGTTCAGTCAGATCTCAAAGTGTCCAGAGTTAAAGATCGTTTAAGACTACATAAGAGTCCGTTTTAAAATGTGTCTCAAAGATTGTGATTGGAATTTCAAAATTGCAACTATCCATTTTTAGAGAAATGAAAAATATTTTAAAACAAAAAACGTATACCTGATCTCATTCTACTTACAATTTTATCACCTTTTAAGATGTAAAGAAAAAAATTTAATTCCTATAGATTTTGTATTTTAAAATGTTTGTGTGGTATCTTTAATTCAATTATTTTGAAATTAGTTTTTTTACTGTTTAAGCATTTAATGAAGTCAACACTTATATTTGTTTTATTTGAATTACAAGCCATACAATAAAATTTAATATTAAAAATGAGGTTTCGAGCATTTGTGATATAAAAAGTCGTTTGAACCTGAGTAAGTTCTTTATGTACTTAGCATATAGACTATTATTTTTTAAAACATTGTATCTAAAAACACCATATGTTCATATGTCTAATTTAGACATTTTTCCTCATGAAAACAGTTTTGTTTTTGTTTTTACAAAATAATTTTATATTGTTTAAGCAGCTGGATACTGTGTGAGATCTGACTGTTATTGTGTGTTTGTGCATTGTACAAATTATCATTTGTATAAAATTATACTTTTAAACGGTTTTTTGTGAGAAACATATGTATATTTGTTAATTATGTTTATCAGGACCTAATGTCCTGATAAATTATTATTATTATTGTTGAAAAAATTAAAACAACCATTAAATGGATGTTGAAACTTATTTTATTTAACAATTTTTAAAAGAGTTTTCGAAGAAAGTGGAATGCGTGCAAATTGAAAAATGAAGACGAGTTAATTTTAGACTTAGCGGGTTGTCTTCCATTGGCACCACCGGAAAGATTTTTAGAAGGAATTCAAATTATTGAGTCCCAAATTGAATTCTATGATAATCACGTACATGGAAAGCTTGAAAAATTTATCAATTATTTACGAAGAACATGCTACAGAAATCGATATCTGATATGTGTAGGCAATCTTCCACATAGAACCAATAATTTAAATGAGTCTTTGAATCACCGCTTAGGAAAAAAACTTGGTGGAAAACATCCGGGAGTTTGGAAATTTCTATGTTTGTAGATAATGATAATTATTAAAATTTTGTTTAAATTCTTTGCATTTAGGGATGTTAAAGTCGATTTCTTGTGATCGACTTCTAGTTTATTAAAGTCAGGGTATAAAATACTTGTGCAGAATATAATTTTTCAGTAAAGGACCATCTACGAACTACGTAACACGTTTTTATTGAAATCTTCCCCCTATGGTATAAGTAGCAAAATTTTTTATCAACATTATTTTGCACTGAATTTAAAAGGATTTTGTGAAAAAATTAATTTTGTGTGATACATGATGATCGTTTTTAGATATTATGACACTATTTAGAGTTTTCGTCATACCTTATACACTAAAACGTCAATCGAGAACAGACGAATGTGTAGTACTGTTCTCGATTGACGCGATTTTTATCGCTCGAAATTAAAAACACTTAGGGCTGTATAAAGTGCGTCAGTTATAACCTAAATTATACCCGCTTCCCCACTTCCTCTCAAGTGTCCCCAAGCTCTGTTTTCGACTGACGTGTTCTCGATTGACGTTTTAGTGAACTATAAAAGGAGGTGTGCAAATGCTTTTATTAATAATTTATCTTAGAAAGTCTATTGGTACAAAGTCGATCAAAAAGTCGATTTTTCAACCCCATTTGTATTATTGACGATGTTCGAATAAAGGTTTTTATTCTACACTGAGAGAAACGATTGGTTGCGATTACCATTTCGTTAGTAAGAGTATTTTTGCTAATTTATATTAATTACTGTTACCATTTCGTAGCAGTATAATCGTCCGTGTGTAATGTGAGGGACATGGTTATTTTGGATTGCTGTAAGTGTTTTGCATGAATAAATAAAGAAAATTATTCTTGCCAAAGAAATGGTAAACGCAACCAATGTTTTTTTCAGTGTGTACTTATATTATATTAAAATCGAGATTTTTAAAAATAGCTCTTTTAAATGAAAAAATTTCCGATGAAGAAATCCGACTAGAAAATTTGCTACAAGGACATGTACCAGGACAACCAATGCGTAAAAGAGACAGAAAAAGAGATACTGTGATATTTAATTCTCAACAAAACCTTAAAGCTGGAGGGTATTAATTATTATTATTCATATTGAATATATAAATCTTTTGTAATGTAGATTTGTTATAAGCACGTAATGTTAGGTTGTTAAGAAATATTTTTTGATTGGCACACATCATAACTTGATTAGTTGAAGTTTTTTAATAAAAAAATGATTATAAAAATAATCATACTTCAATTGATACACTTTTTTCTCACACTGAGAGAAAAGATTGATCAGGGTTACCATTTTTGAGATGACCATTTTTAGTCAGTTAACTATACTGCTGCAAATTTATTTTTTGTGGTTACTATTTTATTGGTTCGCACAACTATATACTTACTTGGTTTAACTAATTCGTTTGTTAGAATAACTATTTACGTAGTTACCTTACTAACGAAATGGTTAGGCTAACTAACTAAATGGTAACAGTAAATAATATAAATTAGCTAAAATACACTTACTAACAAAATGGTAATCGCAACCAATCGTTTCTCTTAGTGCACAAAGTTTACCTTATTGCCTTTGGATCACATTTAAGTAACATTTACATTTCTCGAAAAGTATATGTTATGTTTCACGATAATCATATGGTATATAATAATAATTTGTAGATTCTTAGAAACGTTTTTAAGAGACTGCTCAAAAGCTTAAAAACGCAAGTTGCAAAAAATTTTTAAGACCAAGAGGACATATTAAAAACTCTTTAAACTCAGGTAAGAAAACATTAACATTAACATTGCACATAAGCAATACTCGCACAGAAGGTAGCGACTCTTAATTGTTTTCTATGTAGGTTTGATAATACAATTCTGTTCGGTTGTTATACTCCTTAAAATTTTCTACTTTTCCATTAAAATTGAAAAAATGCTTGTTCTTTCGATTGACGGATTGTTAATATAGAACTAATAAATCTGACCTAATCGTTACAATAATTTAGATAAATATTCTATTATAATTCTTATGAACAAAAATGTATAAAAATATGGCCTTTTTTGGTACATCATTTAAATTCCTGACATTTCTCATAGACTACTTTAAAAACTTAAATAGTTGTAGTTAAATAACTGATAATTGGTTTAAATATTGGAACAGAATTGAAACAATTTGAGCGTCAATGGTAGTTTAAGGGGGTCTTTCTGCTTTAAAATTAAAAGAAATAGATTTTTTTGCTTGAAAATGTTCATTACTATTATAAAATTACTGTCCCAGAACGTTTTCTTAAAAAAATGTTAAAAGCAAAAGTTGTAATCAAAAACTGTTCGATAGGCCTAGCTCAATGTATTATGTTATAAAAACTTTACATGCATGTTATTTATATAAATTTAAATTTGACAAAGTAACAATTAATCAAGGAAGGGATTTAAATGTGTAGGTAAAAAATATGCCGTCTACAAATTTTCTTAAATTAGGAAAATATTTTTCAATTCCAGAAAATGTACAGTTTCAAAGGAAAACAAGAAAATTCTAAAGTTTTTATATATGATAAAATAAAATATTACAAATCTTCAAAAGACTTTCTAACTGCTCGCTGTGCATATCATTATGACGGGTGCACAGCCAAAATCTTTTTTACCGATAGTGGGAAATGGCAAATAAATAGAGAGCACACTTGCAAACAAATAAAAAACCAGATAAATTATGTTTTAAAGAAAAAGGCAGAGAATAAAATACTGCAGATGTGTCGACAGACGAATAGGAAAAAGTCAGAAATTTTTCAAGAAATTTGTCAACGGTATATATAACAAGATTTTCAGGTTTCCTAAGTAAGAATTTTTAATCTGATTAAAAAGATAAAAATTGCTGAGTAAATATAGTATCGTCAAGGAGGGCTATAATGATACAAAAATCGCAGGTTTTCTATAATATTATTAACAAAAATTCCAATCTTTATAGGAAAATATTTAAAACCATTATTTTAGTCGTATTGTGGACATCCCTAAATATATTTTTATAACTTTATTAGAAAAAAATTATTATCTTAGTTATGTAAACACAAAGTTTGTACCTAAATAACACTGCTGTTGAGGTTATCACGGTACATAATTTGTTTTTATTTCTAACATAAATTAATTTTTTTTTGAAATTAAGCTGTCTAAATGGTAACTTAATCACATATTTTTCTGACACAAAAATAAGCAAATAAGCTTGTAAATGCTGTATTTTCAGTTTTAGACACACTTCTTCTAAATTACTTAATAAAAAGTTATGAGTATATATTGTTATAATTAAATTTTTTTTTTAAACAGTTATTTTGTTGCCAAAAGGTCACACTACAATTTTAGCTAGGTTTCAAATTTTATTATTTCGAAATAAATATTTTGTAAATTAAAAACTGTCATATACCATGATAGCCCCTGATGAACCAGAATATCCCCTGTTGACAGTAAACAAATTTGCATAATTTAATTAAATGTTATTATTGATATTTATTCCTTTTCCTTTATAAAGAATGAATTCTTAATAATCGGTTGCGCAGTATGCTTTTTTTACCTGACAATTATTAACTTTCCTAAGAATTTTTAATTTTGTTTGTAAATTACACTGAAAAAAAAGTTTGAAACTTTTAAAAACTACATATTCACTTTTAGATGAAGCACAATTTTAGTATTGTTCTTTATAGAATTTAAAACGTCGTAGAAATAATGGAGTAGTTATTAATTAATTTTTGAAAACTCAGTAAGACACTGCATGTTCCCTAGCTAATTTTAAACTTTTTTACCTACCTATAAAGATCACACAGATCAAGAAAAAATTTTAAACTGTATTCTAGTTATTCGGGAACTGGAATGTGCGTAGAGTTTCTGTGCAGATATATATTACTTGTTATAAACATTCTATAGATTCTGTCTGGCTATTTAGTTTATAAAATATATAAAATCATATCATTAATATTTTAAAGTACATTTTGTCTTATAAATTTGTTTAAGTTTTAAAAGTACAAATATATCTTCACACAAGTTGTGATAAGTGTTCGCAGTTAATTCATACAATATTAATATATGTATTTTTTTATTATTTACAGTTACAATATCAAATTGTCATACGAGGGTTTAAGACCAAGAATGATTAAAGCCAAAATGTCAAAATTTATAAATTTCAAAAATCATGTTGAATTTTTTAGTGCTTTAAAGGCAGAAAAATTTTGTTCGCAAATGATTAATGATGATACAGCATTATTAAAAATAAAAACAATAAAACAGTGGCAGACAACAATTTACTTGGATAAGACTTTTGAGGTGATTATGTTTTTATAATATCTATTTAATAATTTTTCTTTTTTTTCCTCGCTTGCATTACACTTTTGATTATATTTGATATATCATAAAAAATCATAAATGTTGTATACAGAATTTTAAAGAAAATAATTGTTTATACTTTTATAAAGTGGTCTGTATTTAAAAAAAATTAGTCGTTTGTAATAATTATACGATTTATTAAAGTAATTGTAATTTATGGTATTCATGCATTTAAATTTTTACAAAAACAATCAGTTCCTTATTTAATTTTGATAAAAAATTAGAAACAGATAATTTTAAATGAGTACATGCTATTTATATCCTGAAAAGCGAATGGAACAATTTACACATTACACATTTTTTCTGTTACCGTGTGATACTTACCATTTCGTATGCAAATTATTTTAATTTCATTTTATTTTTTAGATCAAGTTTCCAGAATTTGGCCTAACTTTTCTAAATGTTTACGTGATGGAGGAGAAAGAGGTAAATTTATCAACATAAATTTTCACTTAATATGTGTGCGTCCGCATGATAAGGACTCGCAGTATCGATTTTACTTATGCAGTTTTCATTAACTTGTTGATGTTATAAGTATATTTAATTTCAAAATATTTTTTTAAAAAAGAGAAAGGCATTACTTTTTCGATTTATTTCAAAACTAGTGAATATATGTTTTTTCAACAATTTACTGCAATAAATAGAAAACTATTTTAAGAAGAAACATAATAAAATTCAGAAAATTAATAAATTGAGCAATATATTTGTTTCTTCAAGTAACTCACTGTATTAATGTCTGGTAATTAATTTCGTAAGAATACGGATGATCTATTGAAACTTCAATTTTTGATAAAAAGCACTGCTTTATCGTTTGGCGAATTATTTTTTTATTATTCCTGAATAGAGATATTTGAAATTCAATTTTTGATTTCGTTTTCCAACATGGTGTTTTCATCTAAAAGGTTTTAAAAACTCTTAAAATTTTCGAAATTTATCCAGGAATGCGCCTATATAGATAGGTCCATAAGAACCAAAATGAGTACGTCACCTTTTCACGTGACACCAACATATAAAGAATGCCCAAGTATGAAAACCAACACGGCCCAATACTGGTCCAGTATTGGCAAAATCGGCATCAAACCTTGGCAGACAACATTAGGCCGATTTTCGTGGTGTTAATTGCGGTTGGACGTTGGCTGCCAGGCGTCGGCAGACATTATTGGCCCCATAATAATTCTGTGGAAACACTTTAGCCGTTACTGCGCCATGACTGAGCCAAAATTCGTCCTAAATTTGAAAAAAATGGTTTGTTTCAATTATTTAAAAATTAGAGCTGTCGAGAATTAGTGCCAATATTTGACCAATAAAGGGACGAGTTGATCACTATTACTGACCCAGCAACTTTTGTCCTATGTCGGCAGACATTACTGTGCCAATGTTAGGCCGTATTAGCAGTCTTGGAATTTCGCACTTGGGTGACAGATGAAATGAAAAAAAGGTATATGGCCTAGCATGTCAGGATTTTGAAAAAAGTGGGGCTTAAAACCCCCAAAAAACGTGTTTTTATAGGTGTTTAATATGATTTTTCTCTTTAATCTGACGTGGTAAAAACTTCAAAAAAGTCTTAAATTAAAGCTTAAATCGTGTACTACATGACCCATACACGCAACCCTCCCCCCTAATTTTTTTCAATAAAATATACCCGCCCCCACCAAAATTTTTTTAAAAAATTTTTTCGGCGAAATGAATAGATGTTTATTTGTTTTGTGTTTATAATGTTTAAGGCCATAAATTTTGCATTTTGCCTATATAATTTTTAATCCCTTTGCAGTCTAGTTAAAAATCACTTATAGGCCTAATAAGGTTCTAAACAGAGCTTCCAAAAAATTTGATTTCATCGTATTTAAGATTTTTGGGTTCATCTGTCATCAAATTCGAATTCAGCGACCCCAAAAACCCCCGAGAAAAAAATTTCGACCGAATCCCATCAGTCTTGAAATTGGTCGCCATTTTAGGTCCGCCATTTTGAATATTTTAAATCAACCTTAGTATACTTATCACCAGTCAAATCAAATTATATTTAGTATTATTATTTTATCAAAAATTGACAGAAATTTTTTTTTATAATATATGACAATTTCTGCCAAAAAAAACCGTCTGCCATAAGAAATATATGACTTCAATTTTGTGACCACTATTTATTTTGTTAATTTAACATGTTAAACTGTATAAAAAAATTAGTTTCAACCTTAAAATCAAAATTTTCCAACTCAACTTTTCTGGAAGCTGAATATGACAATTTAAATGAAATGAGCCATATATATTACAAACAGATATCGCCGCCACCGCTGTTTCAAGACTCTGAATATAGCCTCAAGTACTCCCTCCCCTCCTTCCACTCTTTTCCCTTTCGTCCCCTTCCCCACCCATCAAAAATGATCTAAATTTAGAGGTTAAGATCGTTTCAAGACTCTGAATATAGCTGCAAGTCTCCTCTTCCCTTCTTCTTCCCCTACCTCAAAAATCAAGGACATATGTCAAAAACCAAAGTTTTTGAAAGAGATTAGACAGATATAACCTCAAAATTAGTATTAGAAGTCAAGAGATGACAGTCCCCCTTAAAATATGAAAGGTCATAGATCAAAGGAGTACATGGCCTCAAATTTACGTCAAAGGTCATAGGTATGAAGGCGAACATAACCTCAAAATTTGGTCAAAGTCATAGAAAAAAATACTGACATAACCTCAAAATTAGTGTCATAGGTTGAAAGGACGTCTCCGTGGTGCATCTTAGAAACTAATTCTTTAAACTGAAATAAAAAATTTTTTTAAAAGAATTTGCCTAAAATTAATCTTTGAAAACATATGAAAACTTATTCCGTTCCTGATTAATTTTTTAATTGCAGAATAGATGGAAATTTATTTGACGGATGCAAGTTAAAATATAGTTGAAGTACATACATAGGGTCTAGAAAACAGTTTAGGCTTAAGACACAGATAGCGATATCTGTTAATTTTTATCACTTATGTGTATTTCTTTTCTTTTTAGAACTAAAGTATTCTTTACAAATTAAAAAGTTTTGTTTCTAAACATATTTTTAATTATTTTATAATATATATTATAGGTATATAATATTTTAATTTTGTAAACAATCCATTTTATTTATATAGTGTTCTGTGGCCTACTGCATTGTTTCTTTAAATTTGAGTCAACCTGTTATAAGAGACTGTTTTAAATATCTTAAAGCTTCATCTTGCAAAGAATTGAAATTGATTATTGGACCTCTAATAAAAGATTTAGTGTTGTGTGCAAAAGAAATATTCGATGTAGAATACACGACATCATGGTTTCATCTTCGAGAGGTAATATTTTATTATTTGTTTCTGCTGATATTTTAATTTATATCATTCTTAATACATCCAGAGAACTATTTTATTTGCGCATATTTGTCTTCATTACACATATTTAATGAATTTTCATAATATAATAAACTTGATTTTATTACATGAATTTGTATTTTTATTATTATTATTTTTTTTCATCTTTTCTATAATTTAATCAATTAGGTATATAAAAAATTTTCACAATAAGTTTTATTTTTCATTTTTTTCTAATTAGTCAACTTTTGTTTAAGCATTATTTAAATTGACAGATTAAAATTTTATTCTAATATAATATATTAAATTGCAGATCGTTAAAGGTGTCTGGGTGAAAAATAATCTCCACAAAGATGAAAATAATTTATTATCCTCTGCTCTATCTTTGCCATTAATGCCGACAAACATGATCTTAAATGCTTGCAGATACCTTCAAAAAATATCTTTGAAAAGTAAATGTATAAAAGAAGAGACATTTGTAAAAGACATTTTTACATTATTTTCTACAATTTTTGAAATTGCGAGCGTAGCTAATACCACATCTTTGAGATTCAATTCCATTCCAACAGTATGCAGAAAATTAGTTGAAAAGATAATGACGTCAAAAACTCCAGGCGAAATGTTTGGTAAATTATTGTTTTTTCTTGTAATTATTATTTTAGAATTTTATAGACTGCCTTAACCCTTTGTAAACCTTAAATTCTATACTGTTTGAGGTGTTTGTGGCATCTAATTTTATAATTAGAGATTCTTTTAGTTTAAACGAAATGCCTTTTTACAAATAAGTATAAGATGATTATCTTTATAGGTCAGTTTATTTAAAATAATGAAACGAAAGTATTATCTAATTTTAATTCTGTTAGTAGAAACCAATTTTATTACTTTTGGAGAATGAAACAAAAGTAGAATCAAATTTTCAGTTTCGATTAATGTGTAAATCATAAATAAACCACGATGAATTTTAATTCTGATATCCTTATGTGTAACAAAACAAAATTATTTTTGAATTTTGTTTAACTCCGTGAAGGACTTGGTTTAATAAAATTAAAACTATCATCCATTAAAAAAATTTCCTTTTTATGTATTCTAATTAATTTGTAATACTTTATTGCGCAAATTCTGTTTGCAAAACTTTCTTTGCTATTATATGCTTACAGAAATTTTTGTTTTCGTGTTAATATTAGTTATGTTTTTTTATTAATTTTATTACAATCGTAATTATATATATTTTTTAATAACAGCTAAGATTAAAGACTTCGTGAACACTGGGAATAGCAGCAAAAAACCGTTCAGTTCTGAAGTATCAAGGAAGTCGCAAGACGTGTGGCATAAAGTACTCAATACTAATGCAAGGTTATTATATAAAAGTTTAAAATTTTTTCTCCAATCACGCTTAAACTCAGGGCATTTGTAGTACTCAAAGATGTTAAATTTTGGTAAAAATATTTTTTCCTTTTGTCCAATATTTTCCGAGAGGGGGGAATGATAGTTTTGGGGTTTTACGGTACTAGCATTTTTTAATAATTTTTTTATCTTAAATATAAAAATAAATAATACCTTCTCATGTGATGAGAATGTAAAAATTTATTAATATCAGTTTCGAAAGCTCTTTTGTTCCTCCTTCGATTGGTAATATTCATTTAAAAAACAAATTTGACAAAAATAAATTTGCCTTTTTCCATGTGAATGGTACGATTTTTTTTAAATTGAAAGCTGAGGTTTTTTCCTACAAAAGTTTATAGTTAAAAAATGGAAGAAGAATATTTAAATAATTTTAATTAACATTTTCTGCTCTTTTGACCATTTTTGGCAATTTTTAATCTAAAGCGGACTCAGAATCTGGTTACATATAATAAAAGTAAATTATACTTTTATAGATTAGAGGTCGATGAGTGCATAATAATTCTACGCAATGAGAGTAAAAAATTCACCACAATCAGCAGACGTAAGTTTTGAATACTTCATGTAATAAAAAAATTAATATCAAACAAATACACTTAGGGGAAAGTTGACATCAGTAAAAGCATAGCTTAGTGTGTACTTTCAGTCTTCTGAAAATTATTCTGAAAAACTAAATATAAATGTGTTTTACGTATACCTACAATATTAAAAATTTTTAAATCATGTTGACAATAATATAAACATACTAATAATTATAATGTAAAATATGAAAGTCAATAATAAAATTGTAATTTAAATACAGTAATGATTTTTACAGAAATACAGAACAGTTTTAAATAAAAGTGAAATATTTTACAGAATGTTTTACAAATATATGACAAAAAATACTTTTTCACGTATGTATTCCAATGTCTGTGTATAATTTTTCAAAAAGATTGTTAATTGTTTATTTTTTTCAATTATAATTATTATTTATTGTTATTATCAATAAGCCGTAACCTTCAAATAGATCAATCAAATTCTAAAAACATAAAAATTATAAATTTATTGTTAGAACGTTAAGTAAATATCGCTGAAGGAAAAAATTATTATATAAATTTAGAAATAAATATGGAGGAATAGAATGAAAAAGTAACTTAAATTGTAATTAATTATTTAAATAAATGATTGAAAAATACAAACAAATTGTCATTTTTTCACAATCATAGTCTAACGCATATCGGTTACTACTGCTTTGAAAAAAGTGATAAATTGACTACTTTCCCCTACATGTGATTAAAAATTGAAGCAAAACACCATATAATTATATTTGTATTCTTTATTTAGAGAGTAGAGCAGCCATTCGAATATCTCCAATCGATGAAAACATAATTAATTTCTTATCTTCCTGCACTGATAAATCAGGTATCTATTATAATTAATATTATAGTATTCCACATAAAACTGTGAATTCTATATAAAAAATAAGAAAACACATTTTTTGTATATTGCTATTTGGTGAAAATTATGGATGTTATAGAATTACTTTTAAAACTTGTTTTTCTCTCTCTATATATATATATATATATATATATTTATTTATTTTTCATAACAATAAAATATTCTGCACAAAATAATTTGATAAAACTTTGGGATCATGAAATAATTAAAAAATATAATTTAGATAAAAAAAATTTTAATGCAATGAATGGTTTAATTAATTTTTAAAAATTTGTTTTAAAATTAGTAGAGTATACCTGTCCAACGCCTGAAAAGGAGAAAAACAAAAATGGAATGGATGAAGAAAGCAGTGAAGAAAAAAGTATCATAGATGATGAAACTGTAGACGAAAAAATTATAATCATGTATGATAACGATAATTTAAACGTTGAAGAAACTAATAGTGCACCAGATGATGAAAACTCAGATGACAGTCAAAGTAATGCTATATCAGACGATGATAATGATGATGGAGATGATGAAAAGGAAGACAGGATTAAAATATCATCTGATGATAATGATGAATACTTAAACGGTAATGTTAAAAATATTTTCTTTTATAAAACAATAACCGAATATGAACAATTATTACCCTGTAATTTATCCAATATTCTTGCTTAAAATCTCTATTTTGTTTAAACAAAAAAAATTTTACTTGACAAATATATTAACAAAAAATACTCAAAAGTATTATAATTTATAAATTAAAAATAAATAGAAAAGCTCAGCACATTTGTGCTGTTTAGTGGTCAGATATTATATTAAATCGTTCGTCCCTCAAGTTAGATCAGAGTTCGTATTTAATAAGCGCTGCTGTTGAGATAATGTGTTAAAGTTCTCTCAGAGTGTATTTTTTTTGTATTTTTGTGAGTATTGTAAGTAGATAAAAAGACAAAAAAGATAAGATAAAAAATAAGTACAGGAATTCTTTGCAGGTTAGCTCACCTACAACATTTTAACTTATAGCAATGCTGAAACCGAAATTTCTATTTTTACAGTTTCAAAACAAAGTAAAATCAGTTTTAATATAATTTTCGAATTAACATAAGCAATAACGTAGTGCATATTGAACAAAGTTTGAAAAATTGGCAACACCAGTTCTGTCAGATTCTGCATTAAAATATTCGGTCTCACAAAGTTAGCGGTAGATACCATATTTCTGTGGATCGATTTAGGAAAAATATTAATCAAATTGAGAATTCGAACTCACCGGTAATAAAATATAAAGAAATCCGATTCTGAAATATTTCTAAAGAAATTTATATTTGAAACTTTCCCCTTTAATTTATAATATAAAATTTGATATATATATTTATCTAAAACGTTAAAAACCTATGTAATTTTAGATTGCTTAAAGAAACTTTGCAATTTATAGATAAAAATAATGTTTTGGGATATCAATATTAAATTAGTACACAAACAATTTTTAAAGTTTTGAGAAAAAAATGAAGATTAACTTGCTCGCATATGAATCTTATTTAACAAATTTATGATCTATTTATTTAAATAATCATATATATAATAAATAAATCATTTGATTTATTTCAAAATAAGTAATATATACGTCAGATTTAAATTCAGGAAAAATAGCGGGGATAGGGATCGCGACTGTCATGACGTACGTGATTACTAAACAGTACAAATTAATAAACTTTAAGATGTTGCCAATGTCAAAATGAAAACAATAAAAATACGATATCTTTAAGTAAAGATATTATATTTTTAATTTTGGTAACTTGACTGCAATTATTAACTTAAGGGGGGAAATTCGTGTAAATGCATGTTTTTTCAGGAATTTTATTTAAAAAACTGGTAAAGTTTATTGAATCAAAGAAAAGCATACCTTAAAGTACACAATATGAGATTTAAAAAAAAATTTTTTATTAAAAAATATTACAAAATGGCGGCGTTACAGGCATTTGAAGTTGCATCTTTGATTTTGCGCCGTGCAGCCTACAGGTCACAAATCTCAACTAAAATTAAAAATTAAAATTTTTACCGTTAAAATACGCAAATACGCTTTGCATGACGAAGAGAAAACTAAATAAAATTTTTTTTTTTGGAAATTTGGCACCATTTTGAAAAAAATTATTTTTTCTTTTATAAACAATGTTCAAAAACAATTGTTAAAATTTTTTTTTAAAAAGGAGCTCGTCATGCAATAGCCAGTAAGATAAAGAAGATTTGAGGCAAGTTTGATTAAAATCGGTTAAAAATTGACTGAGTTACATTGCACGGCGCGCGAAAAAACACGTTTCAAAAAAACGCGTATAAAGTTTTCGATACATAAAAGTAGTGTTTTAACTATTGCCTTGAAGACGTTATGTATTCGAAAATAACTATTGCACAAAAACCAAGGTTTACTATCACTTGCTCATAGTGCTTGCTAATGACAATTAATAACATTTTATTGACAAGAAATCGAAAGAATAGAGGGATCTCGTGCTCATCGTTAACTGCATTTGGTGGCATCTGAAGTGCTAAACTTATGTTTACTATAAAACTTCATATATCTAATTATAGATTAGTAATGTAGGATCATATTCTACACATAGTAAACTAATTTTTAAAGCAAAAAAGAAAAATTGTAAAAAAAAAAATTTAACACGAGTTTCCCCCTTTAATACTAAATATTCTGGTATATATATATATATATATATATTAATTAAATTGTATTAATTTAAAAAAAAAACCTTTTCTGATGTTTATTTTCAATATCTTAACATAAAAAAATAGCTTTAAAAAAAATTTTTTCCAACAGCAAATGATTCATTTTCAAAACGTCACTTATCTGTTAACGATGAAGAATCAGGTAATATATTAACTTAGATTTATAATTGAAGGGTAGAATGACAAAAGGGGTCAAGCGCCAATTCACTGTTTTTACAGGAAGTAAAAAAAACATTTTTAAAAATTTTGCAGGTCATTTAAAAAAAAACTGAGAAAACCGTTTCGATATATTAGTATGTTTTAATAAATAAACAACAATTTGTTGAAATAAACCTACATATTAACGATAAAATTAAAAAAAAACTGTGGTGCCTTGAGGTTATATCAACTGCGCACATTTTCTTTAAGCATTAATTATAAAAAAAATATACAGTTTAAAGAAAAACTGGAAAATTAGTTTCTTTCTATGGAATCGACGAAATGAATAGAAAAAAAAATTCCTTTAAAAAATTATTTGTTTTCAAGAAAATTACAAATTAATTGCTTGCTTTGGAATTGAGCAATAATTTCATCTTTAAATTCAATTGTTCACTTAGTATAACCATAAAAATATTTTAAAATTAATAACAAAATGATTTTAAAATTGTTTAAAATTGAAAATACATTATTATTATTATTAATTTTATTAATTAAAATATTATTGAAATAAAATTAAAATAAAATATTAAAATAAAACCTAAAAAAATAATATTTTTTTTATTTTGATAATATTATTGACTCACCACTTTCTTTTGTTTTTCAATCAGGTTGCAATAAAGTAAATTTGAGGCTATTTTATTAATTTAATGTTTATTAAAAACTGATTTAAATACGCAATAAAAAGAAAATCCTTCTACAGAAATGTGTAAATGAATTTTCTTGATTTTTTTATGCAAAAACCTCATTTTCGATAAATTGGCGCTTGACCCCTTTTGTCATTCTACCCTTCAATTCTTAAAGACATATGAAATTCTTTTTTATTTTATCTTATTTATATTAAGTGAAATATCTGTAAGATAGAAGTTTCAAGCTGCAGAATTTCTTAATAAATTTAAAGTTGTTAGTAGTAGAAGATTTTAAACAAAGCTTTAAGATACCAATAGAGTAGTTTAATACTACAATAATAATTTATATAAACAAAGATATGAATGAAATATTCAATGAATTTGAGTATTTTCTAAATTTTTGATTTAAATATTCACAGAAACGTTGGTAACATACCTTATGTCTCGTTAATATTTGATCGAATAATTAACCATACACATAATCGAATACTTTTTCTTTTCGAGAAAAATAATATACTGCTTTTTGACACATCTTCTATTGTTTGAAGTTGCATTAAGCGTCCTCTAAATTTAAATAGTTTCTAAACAGTTAAGATGATAAAATTGACAACTAAAATTAAAAGTTTCGATAATTTAAAAAAGTTCTAAGCAATAATGAAAATAAAAATTCTGCTGCTGAAAATTCCGTCTACGTAGAAATCAATTAATTGTTAAATTTAATTAAATCTGCACTAAAAAATGGCCAATTCCGTTACTTTTTCGAGTCCTGTAACGCAACTCAGCATTGAGGACTACTGTGTGGACGAGTTTGGAGCACGTTCCACGCTCCAGAAAGGCTCACAACAGTCCTCAAAGTTGAATCGTGCTGCAGGAATAAAAAAAGTAACGCAATGCGCCCTAATTTTTTTTTACTTAAAAGTAATTTTTTAACCTCTTCATTTTTTTATAATATCTATTTGAAAAATGAATTTTAAAAAAGCTCATATATTAAGTTTTGAGTTATATGTATTTGTTATTACGAAACAAATAAAATTTTTGATTAATATTAACATATTAACATTAAATATTAATAAAATGATTAGGGTCACTTGTGGTAAATGGGGACAAGAGGTGTTCGAGCTTAATTTTTACAGTTTTAAAATTAATTTCAACGTCAATATGATTAACGTTCAACCTCAGATCACCTGCAAGAGGTTCTGAGTATTGCCAAGCTTTTACAATTGGCAGCAAAATAATTCAAGTTATTGCTCAATTCATGAGAACATGACAATCAAAGTGAAACTGTTTCAGTATTTTGTTTCGAATTTCAAAGAAAACAGACTTAAAAATCGTACAAAATTTTTTTCTTATTCCTTATGATTCCCATAACAGAAATTCACTTTAATTTTGTCCTTATTTACCCTAACTGACGTTAAATGAAGTTGATTATATGAAATTTATACATTAATAAGCACCAATAACAATCCTTTTTAAAAAATTTAACCGAATAATAGGTTTTTAAATATTCACAGCGTAATTATAAAAAAATATATGTATATATTTTTTTGATAATTTTACAATTTCATAGAAAATGCTTACAATTTAATGCGTTTTTAACCCCGGGCCGGGGTTGTGTAGCGCATTTTGCACAGCTTCAAATAAAGTTTTTTATATACAATAATTTAAAAAAAGCAAAAATGAATGAGTTACACAACAAAGAGTAAAATTGCGCCAAGTAACCCCGGTCTCCCCTATTTATTGAAAAAATATACAATGAATACACTGAAAAATTTAAATATTATGTGGACTAAATATGCAGTTTAATAAAAATTCTATAATTGTAGATGAATCTGACCAATATGATGCAGAAAATTTATCAAGGAGATTAGCAATTTCAAAGAAGATCCTTTATTCACGTAATATTTATATATTGTTAAGTAATTTAAGTAATACGACTCAAAAAACAAGTTGAAATTTGCACACATAATACTTAGGTTTCTGCGAATTTTAAATCGATCTAAAATATTTAACTTTCTGAGTTGAATTGCTAAAGAAATTTTGCACAATAAGTTTATTATAATTATCTTTTATTTAAAATATAGATGCACGAGTTGGGGAAACAACAAAAAATTTAACAAAATGTCCAGTTACTTCGTTAAAAATTTCTTCATCTAAGACAACAAAATCTCCAAAAAATTCTCCAATCATTCTCACAAAAACAAACAGTCTAAAAGAAAAAACTCCATCTAAGCAAACAAAATTGACAAAAAAAACTTTCATTTCTCCAATGACTTCGGACAAAACGAAGAGCAATAACGATAAAACTTCTATCCCTAAAAAAATATTTCAACAAAGTCCTTATGTTGGTCGAATGACTTTAGATAAAATAGATAGCTACAAAGATAATTCTTCTCAAAAGAAAACAAAATTGATGCAAAGAACTTCAATTTCTCCGATCACATTGGTTACAACAAAAAGTCATAAAATAGAGACGTCTGCGTTAAAAACTGAAAAATCGACTAAAAAAATTTCTCTTTCTCCAACGATAAAAACTTCAACTGTAGGTGTTCAAACAGGTAATATATTTTTTATTCTCATCCTTGTATTAGATAATATCATTGATTATTGTAAAAGTAACATTTTGTTAAAATAGTAAAACTACCTCCAAATTGCTATTCCAAAACCTTCAGTTGCTTTATTTCTAGTTCCTTATTATTTTGAGATTATTTTCTTCACATGTTTACATTTTTACAAGAGATTTATATATATATATATATATATGCCGTTAAAAGCACGTTTTACCATTAAGTTAGGGGGTTTAATTTGGTATGATTATTTTTTTTATTTCTTATAGAATTCAAAAACGGCCATTTGAAAAACCACTCTAATCATGTAATTAATTTTTAAATTACTTTGGAACTCGTAGAATGGTTTTTTAAAGTTTTCCCGGAGACCTGAAAAAATTGTTTTTTTAAAAATTAGTTTAAAGATTTTTTCCTAAATCATGAAAATGACTAAAATAATTTTTTTTTATCCGTTTAAACTAGTTAATGTTTCTTTTAATGTTATTCCAGGGTTTCAAAAAATCGATATATTTTTATTGCATTTTTTAAAAGCATAAGTCTTGAGCGCTGAGTAAAGCTCAAGTATAGTAAATTTAGGGCTCACAAATACCCTAAAATCACAATACCACAGCTTTTTAGAGATCAAATATGAAGAATATGTTTGAAAAAACTGTTTTAAGAAGATATTTGACATTTTCTCTTTTGTTCTATGCTTAAAATACAAATAAATAACAAATGATATTTGACTTCACAAAAATAACACTGCTCCTTATTAATAAAATTATTAATAAAAATTTCTTTTTAGATCCAATTAAGAAAGATTCAACTACGGACAGATCATCGAATTATGCGATCCACAGGAAAATTTTGAGGGAATTGAACCATTACCAATCCACAAACAGAATGCGTCGAAGCCGTTCTCGATCAAGGTCATACTCGCACGAACGCCACAACTCTCGCCAAAGATATTCTCGTTCTCGCCACGACTCACGCTACCGCCCAAGATCTCCATCTCCAAGGCACTATCGAAGCTATAAAAGATCTTAAACCTATTTAGGTTCGCCATTTTTATTATGTTATTAATTCACATTATTTGAAACTTATTTACTTAAGCTACGTTTTCTAAGAATAATATTATAAAATGAAAAATAAGTCTATGAAAAAATTCAATTGTTAAGATAGTTTAAAATGAGTAGTTCATTGTCGTCTTCGTTAACATTAATTACATTTCTTTTCTTGTTTTCTTATAAAATGTGTTTCATAAAATGAAATTTAAAATATGGAAAACAGAATTCTATATGAATTTAAAAAATAATGTGTTTAAATTAATTATTAAATTTAATAGAGAATCCACTTATATATTTATTTAGATAGTACTAAATAGCTTTTTGTACTGTCAAACCTGAAAACAACATTAAAAGTTATTGGAAATGGATATAGAAGTTTTTCCAATGCCCTCTATATTTTTTTTACTATCCTGATTAATAGCTATAAAAGAACAATTTGTTGCTTACACCAAACTTGCTACACGTTTGTCTGCAATTTTGCACGGCAAGCTTCCTGCAAGTTTGCTGCAAGTTTTCGTGCTGATTGGGTACTTTTTCATAAATTTTGCGGTTAAAAGTCTTTGTATACCGTTTTAATATATCTTTTGAATACTATTTCTTTTACGAAAAGACACCTTTAAAGCTATTCTGCAACTTAATGTTTTTACTTCTTTTGTTCATTGAATTTTGAACACCCCCAGTGTGTAATTTAAAAAATACCAAAACAAAATTTGAATCTATTTCTGTGGAATTAAAGGTTAAAAATTTTAATTATTAAAATAAAAATAGTAACGCATTTTGACATTCTACCACAATTTTTCCGGAGAGACCAATATAGCAACTGCGCTATTTTATAGCCAAGGTGTTTGTTTTTGTCTCACAGGAGGGGGCGTTGGTTGGGGCCCCCTTCCTCCTTTTTTAAACAGACGTTAATTTTAGTAAACATTAAAGAGTAATTTGTGCCTTTACAATAATTTGTATTTTTTTAAATTTTGATAAAAACTAAGATTTTATATGTAAAACAATTTTTGTATATAAATTATTTAGTACAGATGGTACTCAATCAGTGTCTGAAACGTTGGCAAAATTTAACAAAAATCTATTAGTCTACTACATTTAAAATACTGGATCCTATAAGGTGATATTTCATTCAACATTCATGTCAATTTTAACATTTAATATTATATCTTTTAGGAATTTTAAAAATTTGTGAGCTTAAGTTATGCAGATAATAATTTCAATTCCTAATACCACTTTCCAATCAACCCAATCATACAACTCCTGTCAGTTTCCGGTTTGACCACATTAAAAGAAAAACAGTCAGTCAAAGAAGAAAACGCATATCGCCCACAACGAAGGGTTTCGTGGCTGATATTAACATACACTGAATTGATTACACTGTGCAACAGAATCTAATCTTATTTATTTTTGAATCGCATACATTGATTTTCGTAGGTTTTTTGACGCCAAATACGAATACGAACTCAGAATTACTCCATCACCCTAGGTTTTTAAAAAATTTGACCTTGAAAATTAAAAAAGTACTGTTTTTGAGGTAGTTTTTGATTTTATATAACGGTACAAAAGTTTTTTTGAAAGTTTTCGTGATGAGCGTTACAAAACTTATATCTTCATGAAAAAATGTTTAATTTAGAAAATTTAAAAATATTTATTTTAGTATGAGACATCCTTGTTACAATTTTTCGTTACGAAAAATTTATAAGTTTCGTTGAATTTTGTCAGTAACATATGTCTACAAGGTTTCTTGTAGATATCAGAGTGGATTCCAATTATTATCGTGTGCTGAAGACGATCCCAGGATAAAAAATTCTGTATCACGTCAGGATTTTGCAAAAAAGGGGTAAGAAGCCAATAACAACCACAATTACTGCAAATAATGCTATGGATATTAAATTACTTCCTGCATATAAACAGATAATTAAAGATTTTAAAAAGAAAATTCTATTACAAATTAAAAATGAAGATGAAAAAGATTTATGAGTTGCTTTTTAGAAGAAAGTCGTACATCAACAGACACCTTATCCTTTCTCGACGAATGATTTCAAGATATGACCACAAACTGCAAAATTATTCCTGTTTATAAACACATGATTCAGAAATGTAAAGAAGTTGATTCATTTATAGATTAAAAACGAACAATGATAGGATTTATAAGTTGCTGTGTTGCAATAGAGACATCCTTAACCGACAACAGTTCCTTCCA